ACGGTCAAGGTTTATTAGGTTATACAATAACAACGCCGGGTTCAACATCCCAACCATTGTATACATGCTTTTCCCAGCCGGGTTCTACTGTGTGAACTCCAATGGACTCCGTGCTTTTCTGACCGTAAACGACGAGGAAACGACAATAAACTTTTGTGGTGCAAGGGGGGTAAAGTGAGATGTTGCGAAAGGAAACTCGAACAAAAGAAGATACGGTGATTGACTCCACGCAAGAAGAAGCCCAGCCCAGTTTCTCGGGTTCGAAACATGCAAGTCCAAATAATGCAACCATGACGCCTCTTTCTCCCTTTGTTTGGTGATTCTTCATTAGGCGTCCTAGCAAGAAAATCAAAGACCAGAATGTGCAGAGTCAGTTGGGGTACTTTCTGAGGGGGAAGAACGCGTCAGGCATCGGCTCCAGGTGCCAGACGCGGTCGGCAGGCTTGTCGAAAGCATCATGCCACTCGCGCTTGAGGGCATCGGGAATAGACCAGCCGAGCTGCTCATTGCGCACGCGCATGCGTACAAGGTGACGCTTCTCGCTAGCACCTTGGCCGTTGACAAAGGCCTCGCGACGGTGGAGGATGGCCAAGTTGTTGATGAAGTGAATATCGCCAGCACGAGTCTGGATCTCCATCTGAGTAGCCTTCGCAATTGCTTCGACAGCATCAAGAGCCTCAATCTGGCGAGCTGACAAGGATGGAAAGTGTACCGGTCTGGGATGAGCTGAGTTGCCCATCAAAGGAGTGCGACCAAAGTTGATAATGATCTTTCCGTCATGATGGAAGAGAATCGGACGGCACTGGAACTTGGGACTGAGGTCTGGTCAGGCTACAGCTCGGAAACAACAGAGAACTGGTGGGCAGCTGGGACTGTTTACTTACAGGGCAAAGGGCCAGTCAGAACGGGACAAGGTGCGAATGATGTCAGGTCGAGTGGCTGCAAGAACATTGTAGACGGTGTGAGCAGAGGCAATGATGCACTTGCCACCGGCAGCAGCAGTGTTGCGGGTCAACCAGCTGATGATATCGCCGGACTCCTCATTGTGGAAGGTCTAGGGATGGCCTTGTCAGTAGTTTGCAAGGAAAGACAATGGTGGTAAAGCTTACAATGGCTGAAGTAGAATGGCGATGGTGATCCGCCTTAGCCTGGCTTGTGTTGTCGGCAACGATGTGGACTGTTGTTGTCGATTATGGTTAGCAAAGACTGTCCAAAAGACGAAGAACGGCACAATGTCAACGTACCAAGCATATTTCCCTTCTTGTCCTGGCGAGCACGTTGGTTGGCAACATATCCCTGAACGCCAAGGTACAGGATCGTAAGATCTTCGACAGAGTGCTGCTGGGGGTCAATGCCGCGGACTACAGCGAAGCCCTTGCCTTGATGAATGTCACGGGCAATGCCATCCAAAGTGGCACCGAGGGTCGGCAGAGGGAAGTTGTCCCGGCTGACGAGATCGCCGTCTAGGCCCAGAGCTAAATTGGCACCAAAAGTCAGCCTTCGGACAATGGTAGCATGAGGTGGGCAGGCTTTAGCATACTCTTGAAGTGCTTGAGCGCGGCAGCGAGCTCGTCAAGGTCCGCATTAGTGAGGCTGTAAGTGTACTGCGACTGTTTGGTAAATTGCGGGCCGGTCCAGGCTGATTCGTTAACCACTGTCTCGGGAAAGCCAGTGGGGATGACAGGAACGTCCGCGACTGGGGCGTTGCGGCCGAGGTGGTGAATGTGATGGCCAGCGGCTGCTGTGGTAGCACCCACGACCGGACCAACTGCACTAGACGCCATCTTGCTGATGTGAGAACTGAAATCAGACTTGTCAGAAGATGACCATGGGCGAAACATGAGTAAGCAGTGGCAGGGGGCATGTTCGGAACGAACCTGGAAACGTTTGTTTGATATTGACTGTCTGCCGTGCGGCGTGGGATGTAAGGCCAAGAAGCGTGGGCGTGAAGAAAGCGACTTTGAATCAGGTTGAGGCTCGGAACAAGCTTTAAGAAGAAGCGGACGTAGTGACGGCGGAGCCAATGACTACCAAGGTGTGCTTGAAGTTGAGAAGCGTCTGGAAGAGACTGAGTAGGCGTGGCAGAGACTGACTTGTATAAAGGATTGGGAAGAAGAGAAGACAAGACAAAGGCTGGTGCGGAAGACAATGGCGTTGATTGGAGAAGAAACGGTTGTGAGAGAGATGGCGAGGATCTGACATGATCTGGCAGAAGCCTAATATACTTGCTTCACGGGCAAGGCCAGTCGGTGAAGAGGATATTTCAGCGGCAAAGCAGGAGCAGAAGCAAGAAAGGGCAGGCTCAGGGAATTCGGTGGCAAGGAATAGGGAGGACAGAACGGGTAGGGACGACAGGCGAGATAGCGGGAAGCTGCTCGATGTATGGGTCCCATAAAGTGGTTACCCGAATTGCGCCTGTCTGTGTAGGGGTTTTTGCACACGGGAACGAAGGTGGGAAGGGAGTTGTTGAAGGGTAAGTAGATATGGTCGTGAAGCAGAGCACCGAAGCTGTACGAACGGATATAGACAGAGCTGGCTTTCCTCTAGGTGGTATCCGGGCCCGGTCGACGGCCACATGCGTAGAGTGGGCTACCTAGGTAGGTGGGCGTGGATATGTGGGCGTGGATGACGAGAAAGAGATATGGGCGTGTGCATGCGCGCGCAAAGAAGCAGCGGTATGTTGCTTTACCTTAGTTCGCGGGAAAGCGGCAAGGGCAGGTAGCAGGTGAGCCAGGCCGTTGGGAGGGCCAGCCAGAGACAGGAAATGAGGTGATGGTGTGAGATTGTCATCAAGACATTTAAGCCATGGGGAGTTGGTTGTGAAAAGAAGAAGAAATTGCAGACGAGAGCGGAGGAACATAGGCAGCTGGTAAAGAACGGAAGGGAGGTGCTGATGGAGCCAACCCGACCTCACATCGGGCCAGAGAGGCATGCGAATGGCAATTGAGAGTGAATTGGCGAAAAAAATAAAATAAAGTAAAACAACCACAGGTAGTTTCTACCCTGGGAACTAACGCAGGCAAGGACCAAATCGAAAGGCAGGATGGGCCAAGACAAGGCCTGCGCGGCGAGGTAAATGAAAGGAACTAACGTATCTTACCTTACCTACCTTGAGACAACACTTGGGGAATACCTACTTTACCTCAAGGTGTACGAAGTAGACGGCAACACGAAAAGGTGAGTTCCGGCCTGAGGTAAGGTAGCACGGCAAGAACAGAACTTGAAGGGAGATGCAGATGCAGGGTGCCTGCCAAAGTGCACCACAGTCCACTGCCATGTAGCAAAGATGGACGGGAGGGTACATGCCGAGATTCCCTTACGTTGCCTTGCCTTGCGATAATTGATCATTCCTTCCCAAACATGAAATGGAAGATGGGTGCGTAAAGTAACCCAACGTCAAGTATCTGTAAGTTGAACAAGGAAGGTAAGGTAGGTAGGTAAGGTAAGGAAAGAAAAGCATCTGTAGGCAGGTTCGGATACCTCGTTGCACGGAATGTCATGGGGGGTGCAATTGGAAGGAAGGATGGGAGAATTGGAAAAGACGGAAAGATGGACGGACATTTGCACTTGCTTGACCTCGACTTCAAAGGTACCTCTCCTCCCTGCCTTACTACGTACATCACATGCGTAGTGCCTTCCACCACACGCCCACGCAATACCTTAATCAATACTTGCCATTCTCACTCTTTCTCTCTTTCCCTCTCTCATTTCCTCCGCCTTTTTTTTCTTTCTTTCTTCCTGGTGTTCTTTTTCTCATTGCTCTCCCAGGCGTGGAGGCTTTTGCGAGTGCAAGTATGAATAAGTGGCCAGCCCATCAGGTGGACTTGCGCAACGCCAGGGGGGTGGGAAAGTGCACCATGCTCTTGCAGGTACCCGGCGAGAAAGAAGCAATATGTGAGGAAAAGAAGATCTGGGCTGGTCCGGGCTGAGCTAGGCCGTTATTGCGATGGCCAACCCCAACCTGATGTGGAAGGGAATAAAACACAATCGAAGAAGTGAAGGGGAAGAGAGAGAAAAAAAAAAAAAACCAGGATGCACTGCGCACCCCATCTCAGGCCGGTTGTGCCTCATCTCCCCTTGACCTGGCGACCCTCTGGCTTCCTGGGTATCCACGCCGGGCATATCTTCTGCTCAAGGCAAGAGACATGAACGATGGTGTCGAAAAAGAGGAAAAAGGACGAGAGCTGATAGAGCGATAGAAGATGCGTTCTGTACGACCAGTGGGGTTTGAATGGAACCGGAAGAACAATGTAGAAGAGAGGAGCCGATACAGTAGTGGTGGACCAGGGAAAGAAAAGATTGAGTACGTACGGGCTCCATAGAGTAAGGTAATGTCCTCAGGGACTGGGAGGGGGGTTGCAATGACTCTGATTGTCTCTCGAATGCGCTCCTTGGTGGGTAGCAAGTTGTGGCAAGCTGCGAGGGATGAGAACGACAAACGCAGCAACCCGTTGCAATGGAGGGAGGGACACGCACATTAGATTAGCACTTTGGATGCAATATGTAGCCGTCCAGAGAGCGCAAACTAGACAACGCGGAGCTAGAATGGGGAGGAAGCCAGCGGCTCTACAAGGGAGCTACCGATACGTGCTATGTGCCCATTGTAGGTGTTACGTACGTAACCGTGCATTGCTTGTGCTAAGAACCGTAAACTAGCAATTTGATCGCCCGCGATGCACACTGTGGGGAGGGGCGTTCAAAAAATACTGCGAAATAAACATCAGGTTGGGTTGTGGCGCGACAGACCAGCCAGCTTCTCGCAGCACGCATGGCGCGATTTGGGTCTGCTGAAGTTGCAAAGGTGACGGAGCTTTGACGGACTCGAAGACACACCGTTTGCAATGTGTTGTCGAATGCATCGTTGTTAGCAACGATGCCACAGTCGTACGCTTCCATGCAGATTGTGAGTTACCATGATGGATAAGAGGAGGCAAGCTGCACAGCACGGGCACCAGATTGCAGCAGCAGGGTACGCGTGGTGAGGTCGACATTGGGCGAACATGGACCACCAAAGCTACCTCACTCGGCGTCGGGAAGGCACTTCAGCAATCCAATGCGGTGGGGAATGGGTGTGCGATCAGAGACATGATCGATCCCACCTCGATGCGCAGTGGGAAAAACACGTTTTGTGGCGAGCGCCTCCGCTGCTTGTTGAAACATCCGCAGACGAGGCAGGCGCAGAGTGAGAGAGCGGGCATCAAAATGCGACGGGGCTGGGTGCACGAACAATTGGAAGCTCTTACGGCCATCGTGTAACACGGCATATTCGAATCCTCGGGACGATGACGGTTGGGTGGGTGATCGGGAGCACTAAGCTACGGCACAGAGCCTTGCTTGGTGTTGTCGCCCGTCTTCGCGCCTTGAACCGGGCCGTCAAGTCGAGTTGTGCGCTCCGGGGACGATGGTAGGTGGTGTCCGATTCGATTCGTGTGCTCGTATTGCCCCGATGAGTGACCCGCGGCCCTTGACCAATCGATAGGATCAATGTTCAAAGGCCTGGTCACCCGACGCTCAGGTTTTCCTTTGCTCTGCGAGATTGATGAAGCGCCTCAACAAATCAATCGGCGCTGCTGCTAGCCGTTTTGCTCGTCCCACCTCGTTCGATCTCAAGGAATTGTAAGAACCGACGGCCATCTTGAGAGCAGACGGCGTATCGCAGGAGAGGTGCTAAGCTGCACGCCGGTAGGGTCTGAGTCGAGAATGCGAAAGGGGAATGAGGGAAAAAAAAAAAAAAAACTGGCCACAGAGGCAGTCCCGAAGATGAGTCTGGAAGAGAGGGAGAGGGAGTTGGTGTGCTCAAAAGCCACGCAAGACAGTCGCAGGACTCTGGTTGACTGACTGGCACATTGAGCTTTACCGATAGGTAGACCGTGAGAGCGAAATGGAGGATGTGTGTCTAAGCTATCCATGTTTCAACGTGGAGTCGGTGGCATGGGTACCGTAGCTGGTGTCCAGCAGCAAAAGCAACAAAGAATATGCTCGGAATTAGCATCCACTGTGCTGTACAAAGCCGGGCAGAGATGGAAGGCAGGTGCCCTGAGGTCCCGGGTAGGTAGGTTTAGGTACGTACCCATAACTGAAGTGCAGATGCGACGATGCGTCTGTGGGCACTAGGCGAGGCGTTTGTCCCACAGATGCACGCAACTGGAGACATGCAGACAACGAGCATGTAATGCGAAAAGAAAAGAAAAGAAATATTCTCAAACAAACACAGCCGAGAGGAAGCGAGCGGTGGAGGGCTCCAAGTGAAAAAGGCATGCCCGGAAAACTTGAAGTACGAGATTGGGGGGCGGGAGGAAAAGGAAAAGACACCAGGCATATCAATATGATACTCTGCGTGCTTGGGTGAGGTACTGAGGTTGTTATATATCTCAATGAGGAATCTGGAAGCCTTCGTGATGGCGAATCATTGATAAGGTAAGAGTAAGGTACTCGGTAAGGCAGGAAGGAATAGGCCCAGCACGAGGGGAAAGAGATGGTCGTCTGCAATATTGGGACTTTGCTGGATGCGCTTGCATCTACACCCATGTAAAATAAGGTAAGCAGCTAGCCGGGCGGTAGGCGAACGGGACAGGAGACCCGCAACCCCTGACGCCGATGGCTGGGACCACTTACAGTTCGTTCCGGTCGCACCTCCCGTTTTTTTCGATGAGCGAGGGACCCCTGCGTTCCCACCCTAGTCACTTCCATGTCGGGAATATCGATGTGGAATTTATGGGTCTTTGACTGGTACGTGCACGGCGCCCCATCCATTTCAGTTGGAAGGAACCTCCAAGGAAAGCAAGGTTGACGGCGGCACGGCGGGGAGGAGGAGGGGAGGACCTTGCCTTAGGTAAGGCATTCCCAACTTCCCGTTGGTTCTCCACACTTTCCCGGTTGAACGTCACCTCACCTCCTGGCCCTGCCCTCCTTCACCATCGTGACTCCTCCGAAACTGCCGGCAAAGACAATAAGACCCGGCCGGGAAAGATGCGAGCAACCTCGTCATGCGACCTCAAGTGCTGCAAGCTCAGGGTCAATTTTGCGCAACTCGCCGAGTTTCTTCCCTTTACCGCCCAACCCAATGTTTGTTTCTTTCATCCTTGAGAATTCTGGCCGCAGTGCGGAAACGAAAATGCAGCGAACCTCGGGAAGAATCTGTTCTTTGTTTTCGCTTTTCGTACTGTAATTTCAGTTCGGCATGTCGTCTACTTAGAAAGAGAAGGTGAGAGGGGGGTCTTCAAGGATTTCCTTCCTTCTTCACGTCTTCCTCACGCCCCCTCCCCCATCTCCCTCCGTCAATCAAGGCTTGTTCGAGGCCTGCCTTACCGACAACCATCTCAGACCTGCACACCCTTAGGATCCGAAATACTCCCTCAAGCCAACAGGGAAATACATCAAGTCCAGACCGGATTGCATCCGAGTTGCTTGCCCGACATGTCTTAGTCGACAACACCACACCACATTCCCATCTCCCAGTTCCCATCCCGCCAGTCACTATCCTCCATCCCGCTGATCCATCATTCAACCTCCCGTCCTCCCCCAGATTGCCACCCGACTTTGAAACATTCCGATGTCCCATCGACCGCACGAACATGTCAGTTGGGCCTGGCGCGCGCGTATACACACAAAGATTCTCTGAATATGATGTGTATCTTTCTCATCTTGTCTTGGATTTTTTTAACTTTTTTTGACAGCACTGGACCGGCCCGCGAACCAGAGATGCATATGAAATCTGATGAAAAGTGGAGTCTGCATTGGGCCGGTGAAGGATTTCTACGAATAGAACCGCGCCAACTCCACACCATTCGACCGGACACACGTCTGTTAGAACACCTGCAGGACCCTGTCCAACGATGCACATGGCGGATCGGCACAGCTCGAGCCATTCTCGACCAAGACGATGTGTTCGAGCTTTTCATATCAGAACGCAGTGAAACATCATGTGCGCCCATCCTCTGGTTGAACCATTAGCGAGAGGTGGGGGTCGACCTGGAACTTCCTAGTCTCCAAAGGCAAAATCCTGAACTCGATAAGCTCCGGGTCTTTCACTCCTCGGCTTCAACCATATTTTGTCTCTGACGCCCATCGCGAACTCTTGGAGGTTCCGACCTATATGTCGCGGTGTAACACGGCACAAAATACGCCGACATTTGGCATTCGCCACAGTCAATCATGGGACATGCACAATGTTGGCACGGCGATGCGCTGAACGGAACCATTGGACGAGGACAAACACACAAAGTTACTATGGACAACAGAAACAACAAGCCTCGGCTGCTGATCATGTTTTGCCACCCATCGTCATCGTCGTCAACTTCGTTGAAACCTCCCCCTCTCTCTTTTCTTCCCCTGCCCACACGCAAACCTGCCATGATATCTCCCCTTGAGAGTAACAGTAGAGCAAGTGAGATGAAAGGAAAGAAAAAGGATGGGAAAGAGCCACCGGTATGCATTCTCCCTCCATTGCCGTCGCCATCGCTCCGTAGAATAAACAGACAGACCGAGGTGGACCTCTTCGATTCAAAGAGTCCCGGTCGAACGAGAAGAATAAGTAAGTATCAAACGGCCTGCTCACGAATGACAAAAAAAAAACAAATCTGAAGAAAATGAAAGCATGAGATGAACACCGCCTTCAATGCCAAACCTTTAAAAGCCAATGACTTGTCTTTTGGGTCCTCCCGCTTTGCGCCTCTGCACGTCGCTTTAGTGTGTGCACCCCTCCCCAGTCCCGGTAAAAACAACCTGGAAGATCCGAACGGAAAGTATCGCCCTCCCCCTCATCTCCTAGCCTCCATCCCTCTCTCCACCTGCCCACCTACCCACCTCGATTAATATGCCCAGGTTTGGGGCTGCCAGTCTCGCTGGAAGAGCTGGCTGACGAAGAAGTATGGCTGCTCGTACTGGTTGGCTCGTTGTACCTCTTCCCATTCGCGTTCTAGTTTCAATCGCGTCAGTCTTCACTCCCAGCTTGTTGGTTGGCCTGTCACACTGTCGATCCAAGGGATGCGCATCTCTCTAGCACAGAACAGTCACACAGACACACAGACACCACCCCCAAAATACTCCAGTATCGGTCACAAGGAGGGGGGGGGGGGGCTTGGTTTAGGAAACATGGGCTGCCACTGACTGTTTTGCATTGCCATTGCGCGCGTGTAGTGGATAAACTGCACCGCGTCGTCGTCCAGCTGGGCCAGCGTCCGCAAGTCCTGGTCTCTGCAATCCTCGGAGAATGGGTAGATTCCCTTGTTGCAGTAGTGGAAGTACGCGAGGAGAATCGTTCCTCCTGCTCGTCAGGCTTTCGTCAGCATGTCTTACTCAACAAAAAGCCAAACAGATTGGGCCACCGCTGAACATAAAGCAAGCGCCTCAGCCAGCTATTGTTCACTTACCCATATGGTATTCCTGGACATCTGTCTGCCTTGCGAATTTTGTCTGCCAGGGCAAAAATCATTTGTTAGCAACCTCATTGCCAATCAACTCATGGCTGCTCCCCCATTGAGCTGAAGAGCCTGCTGGTCTCCCATCACAACTCACCTTCATACCATGCTTCCTGGCGTATGAAGCATCGTGATCCGTCACAAGAGCGATGTTGTGCAGCAACATAAACGTCACCAGGTAGGTGGTCAACCAAGTCTTCTGCTTATTCTGCAGCGTCATCTTTTGGAGCTTTTCCAGCATTTCTCGTCGAAGTCTCGTCTGTATATGCTGGATGAGGACCAAATCCAATTGAGCTCCCATCACCGGCGGAAGGGGGATGCGTCCGTGCTGCGGGCTGCTGCTGTCCAGAATATCGCGTGTCATTCCGAGCGTGTCGTCCCCAACAATTTCTATTGACTTCGTCGTCAAGCGGACCGCCATCCACAATTCCAGCGTCTGAAGCAGAAGGTCCTTCTCATCTTGAGCCGTTGAAGGATCCTGCGAGAGTTTCCAAGCTTTGAGGTAGGTCTCGAAGAGCAGTCGATCCCTGACACCCATCACACTCTCCACGACCGAGTTGAAGCATTCAACGACGCCTCTCTTGATATAATCTTCATACGCCGTCTGCGCGTCGTCCAGGTTCGTGATGGCATACGTGGGAATCGCCACAGACTTCTTTTCACCTTCTTCGGTAACCCAAGTCCGTTCCAGCTTGTCGCCCGGTTGTGGGACGAATTCTCGAACAGAGAGCTGAACCCACATACTGCTGGGCGTGTAACCCTCCCACAAGCGCACAATCCTCACTTCATTCGACGCCCAGTTATTGATGTTGTCTACAATGCCGTTGTTGAAACGCTGGGTCCACTCGAAACCAGGTGCTTGACCCTTTTTGAAGAAATGGCATTCCGTGATTTTGTGGCGTACACAGGGCTGGCGGATAAGTTGTTTGTGATGATTGTTGTTCGATCTTGGCTTGCAGCCTAGACACGGCCCTTTCGGATCATCTGGATCAGTCTTACACTAATATCGTTTGTCAGCAGTCGAATCCACCATTCTAAACCTCTCTGTGATGCTTACTCTCACTCGCTGCATCTTGCATCGAATGCAAGAACCGTTCTTCCTTGTTGCTGCTGTCTCCTCCCGAGCCTTTTGGTCCTTGAAAGGGCCACGCTTTGCGGCTGGTGGGCGCTGGTTAGGGAAAACAACATCAAGACTAGCGTTGGCGTGAGCGTTGGCAATAGGCCCGTCCATGTCCTCAGTCTTGACACAGGACATGGGGTATGTTGAGTCCATAGCAAATCTGGCAGTCGTAACAGGCACAGATGTGGGAGTTTGTAACGCTGGAGATATGACCATATCCATCATGTTGCCGCCGTATGTAGGCGGCAGAGTCTCCCTCGAAGTCAGGCGACGATCAAGGGTGTTTGCGTTCGAGTAACTGGGTTCACCACCAACATGACCACTGAGTGTTGTGGAATAGAAGGACGGTGCCGATACCCCAGTCACGTAGACACCGGTGTCAGGTCCGGAGTGTTGGGCCACCAATGTCTGATTAGGGTCCTCATGTACAGGTTGATAGCTGGACACATAGGAGCCCAGCAAATTGCTGTCTCCGGCCGGAAATGGATTTTGGGTGTTAGAGACAACTGGAGGAGGGACGTAGACGTCTGGTTGAGAAACTTGTGCTGAAGGGGGTTTCTCAACCTCATAGGGTCTGTTACTGTTGGTTCCATAGTCATAAGTAGCAACCTCTGACCCAGGAAGGGGCTGATAACCTGGTTATTGGATCAGCAAGGGTTGAACGATTGTTTGATACGCCGCAATACATACCATCATTGGTAACAGCACAGGTGCTCCAACAGTTTTGGCAGAACGCCAATGCCAGCGTCTGCATCCCCTGTGTTAATCCATTGACGACAGGACCTGGAAACCCTGAAGAACGATCTAGTTCGACGTTGGCAAGGCCATGCTGCCCAATGTGTGGAGCCTTCTCTTCATAGTCCTCAGGAAGAGAGCCTCCTGCGTACTGAGAAGACATGGAGTAGCCTGATACAAGCCGTTGTCTCTTGTGAGCGTTTTCTATTTGCGAGGTGTTGGAAAGGATTTGGTGAAGCCGGAAACCAGGAATGTTGTATAGGTCCGCGACTTGGTTAATCAGGATTTGGGTCTCGGGGTGAAGGGTAGAGAAGTGTATATTGGCATATGGAGAAGGCGAAGAGCTGTGATGTCCCGGCACTATTGAAGAGTCGTCTTCGGGGCCGGGGACCCGGCGCTTTCTGAGATGATTGTGATTCTAAGATGAAATCAATCCACCGCACGTTCAAAGTGCAATAGGGCAGAGGAAGGGATAGAATTGCCAGAGCAAACGGGAACAGCCAGGGCTAACAAAGATATAAGGGAACGATGTGTGTGAAATGATGCGGGTGCTGGGACAGCGGCTGGGCTCAAATGACATTGGGGAAGATCGGTGATATATCCCATGCACGCTGCCGCCAGCCGGGAAGCAGGGACATCTCTTACCATGATTGATGCAACGAGAGAGGGTGTGTTGGACAGAGCCTAGTAGCGAGGCCAAGTACCACAATCTGTGACCTGTATAAGGTATACGGCAGAGACAAGCAGCAAGCAGTAGGAGTGAGCAGGCACAGCGAAGCACAAGGGGAGCGTAGAAAATTGCGCCTCACCGGGAGGGGGTGGGGGAGGGAGTTACGGTCTCACGAGAGCCATTGCCACATAATGGCACCCCTTGTGCGCGAGTGGAGTACAGGAAAGAGGGTATGGTAGGGGAAAGGAAAGGAGGGTTGATGACTCGGCCAGGAACAAAAGGCGGAGGAAGAACTACTCGGCGTGGAATACAGAGGAGTGGAAATGGAGGTAGGGAGTCAGGCTAGAATGCCGTTGTGAAGAGAGACAGACAGGCCTGCTTGACAGCATACACTCGGCCGAAACTGGGGGGGGATGAACCAAAGGAAAAGACGGCAAGTCTTGCTGCTGCGTGCGTGTGCGTGCTTGTGCTTGGAGGTATGCGTATGCCGCTCTGCTCTTTTTTTTTTCTTTCCCTCACTCTCTTTTTTCTCTGAGGGGGGTACTCCTGCTGCCGCTGTCTCTCTCTGTCGGTTTCTGCAGCCGTTGCTCCTCGGCCTTGACGGATGTCGCAGATACTGCTGGCCGTGGCCTGAGCCTAGTCGCCTGGATGTTTCGCCCGTCTGGCGCAAATTCGAGACGCTGTCGTTCTCGTTGTTTGCTTTGTGCGATGTCTCCTTCGGTGGAGCACAGCGTTGCGCGCGCTGGCAGGCTAGAATCAGAGAGCGT